TAAGAACCCGCACTCTGACATTTTGTCCATGATTGTGTTAATTCTAGGCAACTCAAAATTGTCAGGTAGGGTTTGCTCATTTAGCTGGCGCATGTCTTGAACCATTCTGTAAGAATCTGTTTGGCCCGGCTTAACCACCATGAATACACAAGAATTCCAATTACTGTAATGACATCTCTCAATTTGACCCGATTTGACCAAATTCCCAATTTCCTTGTCCATGTGAGGCCTCATTTTGTAACTTATGTCTCTACTCGGGACCCACTTTGCAACATAATCTCTTTTAAGCCGGAGATTAGCCTCATAAAATGTTGCTACTCCTAGATCAAACTTGTCTCTCGAGAAACAATGACTGTACTCAGCAAGTAAGTCCTTTAACTCAGCCTTCAACTGTGGCGTGATGTCAATATCATCTACCCTGAGTTGTTTATATAGACTTTCCATATCTCGCCATCTACCGTTCTCTCTATAGATCTCTTCCGGCACTGCATCCTCCAACCTGGGTATATTGATCGCAGCTGAATAAGCTTCTCCCCTTCTTACTTTTCTTACTCCCCTCACCATATTAGGAGTTTCTTCCATGGGTTCCATGAATCCAATAACTCTGTTCTTGTTGATCACAACATCAATAGACATGGGATTTATACATCTCAATGGTATTCTGTTGTTGCAAGAAAATGCAATTGCATTTTCCACTGCAACTCCTGTCGATTCGACCAAGTTGCGACTACCGAAGACAATACCTTCATAGTTAGACCCCTTACTTCCCCTGGGATTGATCTTCCCGGTCAGATACACTACTGAATTCGCAGGTACCGTGACGGACTTGCTACATTTGACCTTACAACGATTTACCAACTTAATCGGTCTATCGATGAACTGTTCCTGGCCGTAAGTAGTTGTTAAAAGTTTTTCCGGGAGATATATGCGTGCCTCAAGCTTCCTTAGTAGGTCGTTTCCTGCTAAGATATCCTCCGAAATTACATCACAGGCCACAAATTTGTGCGTGACCGATGTACCAGCAATTTTGACCTGTAACTCGATCTCCCCTCTCATGGGAATGAGTTTATTAGAAAGGCCAGCAACTCTTATTCGGGAAGGTCTAATGTGTTGCGTCATATTTAAACGGTCAATTAACCGAATATTCACTAAACTAACGCTTGCACCGGTATCTGCTAATAAATTGACTGCAATGTCCTGGCAACTACCTCTTACTATTATATCGGGACACTGTGGTTGCACTCTAGAGCATTCCCCTCTGAATACGCCCTGATTTGTCATACAATTGTATGGATCCACCCGGACGCCTGTACAACCACTTTCTAGTTTAAAGAATTGTCAGGAAACCCCGTGTTGCCGGTCTGGTGAAAATTACCCCGCTGCATCATGTTTCCTCCTCTGCTATTCCCCTGATTACGTGCATAATTTTGGCCCCGATAATTATTAAAGCTTTTATAGTTTCCCTGATATGCAGGTTGGCCATAACGACGAGAATCAGATTGATCTCTTTTAAATGAACCTGTATTTCCATTGTACTGTCGGTTGAATTCTCCACCGGATCTTCTTCTCGCCCAGCAGTTAGCTCGTACATGTCCGGTCTTGTTACAATTCCAGCACGTTATGTTCTTGTAACTCCGCCACCCGTCTCGCTCTCTATCGTGCACTGGTCTGGGTCTTGACGAGTTTCTGTTATCTCCTTGCCATTTGTCCCTATTTTCACCGGACCAAGATCTCGATCTGCCATCCCCCGTAGGTCTCTGATAAGTAGCTTCTTTTTGCTCCTCCCGACTATTTTGCCTCGAAAATGAGGGGTCGTGAACGGTTGGCTCGTCGGAAAATGCCGTTTGTTTCATAATCGAAGAAACGGGAATTCCTCTATCGTTCTCATTCATCATCTTCTCAACGCCTTCTATTTTCTCTGCCAATTTCACTGCTTCCTCAAATGAAACGAAGCTGGCTACATTGAGCTGCTGCATCATATTTTTGCTCCTTACTCCTCGTAAAAGAGCCAAAAGACAATTGTCTTCCGCCACTGTTACATCCAAGTAAGCTACATTCGACTTCGCCCTCAGTCGAAAAACGTACTCACCTATATCTTCTCCCTGCCGCTGACGACAGTTAAGCAGTTCGTTTTTAAGTGCTGTAGCTTCGTTGCCATAGATGGCTCGCTTGTAGAGCGCACAAAAAAGCTCAGGATCTTTTTTCTCCCTATCACTCAGCTTGACTGCCCTCAATACCGAATAGGTTTTATCGTCCACACTTTGGAGCAAATGCTCATTCAGTAATGGACTCTTCAATCTGGTTATTCTCACGTATGAGAGAAATCTCTCACAAAACATGGAAAAATCTTCTCCTTTTTCAAACCTCTTCAATTTAGCTGCTCGGGATAATTTTGAATTCAAAATTTTCCCTGATCCGTCATGATCATTTTCGCTCTCGTTATCCTCCAAATCCGAATCGCCCACTTCGAACACCTCTTTTTTAATCTCTTTCTCCTGCACTTTGAGCTCTTCCAGTGCGGTTCTGATTTTCTCTCGTTCAGCTTTGATTTTCTCCAACTCTTCTTTCGCTTCAGCCGCTGCTGCAACCTTTTCTTCCTTGTCACTGCCACTAGTCATCTATGCTCAGTTCACTTCGAGGGTATTTACCAATTGATTAATCAGGCTCCAGTTGATAAAAGGCTCTTTTCCTTTATATTTTGTTCAGCAAGGTGACAAGGGAAAATACTTCAATTCGAATAAACCGTTAAGAATTGTAATTACAATATCTCAGTGTTCCTCAAATACTATGTCAATAATTCGAATAGCCTAGTTCTTTAACTGTAAACATTAGCTGTAAACATCTGCTGTATTCAAACCAAAAAGTGTCCTGCCATCCAACAGGCCCACTCTTAAATATCCTTAGATAGTATAAACAATCTCCCACTCGTTTTAGCAATCCCTAAACAAATCCCAAACTATCCTTCCTATAGCCAAAACAGAGGTGTAAAATTGAACTCTCTGATAACCAAAACAGAGATGTTAAAATAAACTTTCTGTTTCCCTAAAACTCTCTGCCCTTAGGCTTAACAATATCTTTAACTATCCTCCTATAGCCAAAACAGAGTTGTTAAACTGAACTCTTTGATAACCAAAACAGAGATGTTAAAATAAACTTTCTGTTTCCCTAAAACTCTCTGCACTACCCTGCTGTACTAAATGTCGTACACTAATAAATGCCCTAAAATACTACGGTAAAATACTGTTTAATGTCTAGTACTAAAACTGCTAAAACGAGTATATAACAAAGGGTTGCATATTAGGTTTGAACCTAATAATAATATAATCTCGTACAGTATTCCAAAACTTGAGTACTAGGTGAGATTTAACAGCAGATACCGTAGCACTAGCAGGACTATAAGTATGAAGGAAAACTTGAACTAGACTAGAACTTCATCTTTACAGTAAACTGATTATGGGCAACTGGCGATATAAACGTAATTTGAGACAAATCAAGGTTCTTGTTAATATTGATATTAAACGTATGGAATGACAAAAAATTGATAATATAACTTGTGAATTGTGATTAACATTTAATTTACAGAAATCAAGTTTTACTGTCAGGATGAAGTCGTAATCTTTAGGTGCTTTTGTAAGCAGTGGGCGTTTGCCCTTTCAGGTCCGTAGATTGATTTATAATTATATCTAATTAAGGTTAAGAACATGAACAACGAAATCGAGATTGATAACGGCAATTAAGCTGATGTGACATTATATTTATATAATACAGAACATGGAACAATCTCTAATAAATAAATCCGCTCCTAAATAACCAGACCTATACCGCCAAATGAGTGTACTCCTACAAATCTAGGCCCCTACTGAAATCTACCAGCACCGTCGAACATGGTACTCCTACATATAGTGTGGTTGCCTAACCCTACCGAGTAAAGCCTTACTCAAACCTACAGATATCTACAACAGAAACTATTCCAGGCCTTATTCGTGCTCTCCAGGACTCATGATCCTAACAGGTCCTGGTCCCGAAATCTCCAGTGCCAATGACCATTGACCCTCTCTAAACCTGGGCGAACAGAAAATGAGTTCCCTCTGGTTTTTCCAGCGAACTTTAAATAGTGTTCTGTTCGTGTTTTATCATTTACCCCTCCGACGTGTTGGACTCTCCCATCCACGCGACGCGACGTGAGCCAATTAGGTCAGATTCAACAACAAAAAGGATTTATAATTATTTATTCTTATCTTCGTATTTGAATAATTATTGTGGCTGGAAATCAAATTTAATAGGACGATATTATAATTTTATCTTATCGTCATATTGTTCATATGCAAGATCATTGTATCACGTGGTGACCCCCACTGTCGCTTCACTATAGTCATAGAGTTTCGACGATACAGGGGGAGCCGCGCACTCGTGCGCGGCGGGTCATACAACGTATGACAACAAGATCACACTAAATGTTTACCATTTTAATATACTGGTTTAAGTACAGAGCAGCGATATTTTATTTACAATTATATGCATGAATGCTGTACGGTGTGTTCCGTGATGACGTGGAAAATATTATTTCCTGTCATGTACTGAGTGTACTACTGTACTCCGTGTCCAAGTAATTATGGGGCCGGAATACGTAACGACGTGACGTAGTATTATGTTGGGTCACGATCTTTAAATACGTCACGATCTTTAAGTACGTCCTTTAAGTATGGCCTAACCGTGTGTGTTATGTGATCATCGACAGATAACCGAATTGCCCAAACATGCTTGCTTTAAACACTCCCTCCATGACCATATGCTTCTTAAATCGCAAGCACGGTTTTTAGGTTAATAATAGGCTAAAAGTAAATTGCATGCTCAACCTGTTTTTTAAATTGATGAGGCAAGAAAACATGAACACCTCATTGGATGACAAAAAAATCGTATGCTCATTAAAATATAAAAATAATTACAGTTATGTAACAATGTAACATACTCTGATATTTATTAACTTGTACCACACCCAGGACTGGAAGATGGCAGGACTATACTATCTGGTATTGTACTCCTCCTAATCCTCGTATTCTTAGCTACCAAGCTACTGGAACGTGTCTACCACGGCCTCTTCCCCTTATCTCCTAACGACAGGGACTTTATCAGCCACCCTGAGGCCAACTTTGAACAACTCAAGGACACCTACTTGCCTGGGGTCATCAACAGCGACAGTAAGTGCAGACTGCACAGGCCGCTCAAAGTTATACTGACGAGAGTTACTTTAAATAAAGTATAGGTGGAAATGGAAGGATGATTTTAAGGAAAGGGTAAATTTGACCACTTTTAATAGCGTTGTCTTGACAACACGTGTTTCAGCTCACAGACAGAAAAGACGAGCAAAGAGAGTGTACAGTGAGCACAATAGAGCGTACTCAATGTCCTCAATTACAGCTCTTCTTGATACCGGGCTCTCAGCCAACTACAAGTGTTAGACAACGTTCACTTTCTTTTATATGCTACTAATACACTAGTAACTATGTTTATCCAATATTTTAATGTTTTAATTGATTTTGATTGGGAAAAAATTTAATAAACAGCCAGTACAGCATTAGCATGTAAAAGATGACTTTACACTTGAAGTTGAACAGCTCGATAACCAACATCCTACAATTTCAGCCATAGTTGGATCTATATCTGGAATGTCCATGAGAAGCCACACCAGCATCAGTAACAGTCCTGTAATTACCTCACTCTCCTCGAGTAATCCTGAGATATCAACCTCTCCAAGCCATCGTGATGACCACGTGACCAGTCTAAGCCCAGAAACCCCGGACGGAAGAAGCAGTCAGGACACTGCTACTCTTGAGATTGAGAATTTATCAGACACTGAAATTAATAATACAAGTGACAATGAATTTGGGATTAGTTTTATTTTGGATGGTTCAAGTGCGGCCGGTTCTGTGGCTGTGGACAGTATCAACTCCGGTAAATGATACAGACAATCATTGAAAATGAATTAGAGCATTAAGGCAAGGTTTAACATGACAGTAATAGTATTGAAAAATTAGGAGGTCTCGAATTTTACATTATATACTTTTTTACATTTTTAGAACAATTAACCATGTGGGAAACATAAAAGTTAAAACGCAGCAAACATATTTTGTGTTTTTGTGCAATTGTCATAATTGATTCCATTGAATTGGTTATTTGATGAAAGAAATAAATTCGCTGAGCGTAAACACGACGATGTCAATTATTTACTGATCAATTGAATTCATGTTTCAATTTTTGTAATATATGCTTAATTTCTGTGAGAAAACTATTTCTAAGAATAAGGGCTGAACAAATTGGGACATAAGAATTGATGTGCGATAAAAAGATATCAATAATTAATACATTGTAATTATACAATATACATGTATAAAGATATGAGTTCCGAATTAGGGCCAGCACTCAAAGTAAAATACTCAAATAGAATATTTGCAACCTGATAAGGATTACAACTGTTCACGTTAGGGTATCAAATTCAATATCATGGATTTGCCGTCAAATTCTTGTTAAATATTAATAATTTATAAAATGTTTGTCAATATCTTCTCCAAACGAGACCCTACCGATGTTGAAAATACTGCTTATCACTGTTAAAAACATACGGCAGCACATTATCAGGACCCTTGAACTTGTTGATAAAAAACTTAATCTGGGGCTCCAATCCCATTCCCTCGACATACACATCCAAACACATGCACAGTTTACAGACCACCTTAGTGAGCACGTACTCTACTCCCTTCTCGTAGAGCTCGTCTATGTGCACATTCAGCTCTTCCTCTATAGCCCGGACATTGTTGTCGTTGTGGGAGGTAGCTGTACCAGCTGGAGACTCCACTTGGAGTAGGGTGAAGGGAGGGGTGACAGGGTAATCCAGGGAGAGGGTCAGGAGACTCTTGCAGGAGGTTTTACCTCTTTTTACCACCAGCTGAGGTTATTTGGTGATTAGTGGTTTGACAGTTAACTTGGATTAAAGATCAAGCTAGCTGCGGAAAACTTTGGTAATACCGCCGAGTTAAAAATTATTCTGCAGTCTCAAAGGGGGGGGGATGCAACGTCAATTAATGTCAGTATTCCATAAAAACCCCAAACTGACATTGACATTAATTGACATTAATTGACATTAATTGACATTAACATTAAGTTGTCTTGAAATTTGAGATTATCATTATTCGATAAATATTCAAGATATTCACGTCTATGTAAGTTAGACCGGTCCAAAAAAACAAAATGTCCTTGAATAATTATGAGTATGTTCTTATCTGTTGATCCTTAGGTTCAAAGACCACAAAAAAAATTTCAGCTTCCAACTCTTCCATCTTCGATCCCCACCGGCCACGCCCATATTTTATTGGTTTCTTATACAGGTAAAATATCTAGAATCGGCTTTTTTAGTATGAAGGAGTAATGTTAGCTCTTTAAGATTCGTTATTCAAATATAAATGTCATGAAGGCATTTCGTTTAATGTGGGTTTTAAGTTCTGATGATGTTGAGAACCACGCCCTTGGATGGCCACGCCCATTTAAGAAAATTAAATTTCGGAAAACCGTATTATTTTAGTTTTATTGTTTAATGATCTGAATTTTTTCACATTTCACATTTCCATATGTGATAGTAGTGAATAAATTGATGATATAAACGTTCTAAAGTGCTAAAAATATGGTAGAACTACATAATCTCTGGTCGAAAAATATCGTGTCAATTAATGTCAGTATTCCAAAATTTTGCAAAACTGACATTGACATTAATTGACATTAATTGACATTAATTGACATTAATTGACATTAATTGACGTTGCATCCCCCCCGTCTCAAACAATGAAATATCGATCAAAAATTCTAATACGTACCTCATACAGGGTATCCTTGTCAGAAATATGTTTGAGTGTACGCTCAGGGTAGGAGCCAGAGAGGGAGTCCAACTGAACCTCCTTCCAGGATCCAATCTCTGTTAATAGAGTCGGTTGGGAGATCGACCCTTCTTTAACAGTCTGGTTCGTCGTGAGGTTTCTGAGATAAAACTTCTTGATGATATGATTTCAGTTAAAATGTACAGTGAATATGTTTAAAATTGGTTTAAAGACATGATTATTGAATTAATTGTCACAATATGATTTCGAGAAGCTCTGTTCTTAGGATATATTTAATAAACTAGAGTATGTTTCAGTTCAGTTTTTAGAGGTAAACTAGTAGTTTGTTCTTCTCAGTCTTACATCTTTACATTGAGTGAATTTTTTATTTGGGGAATTATTGATGAATGAAAGGCTATATATTTTTTCAAATATTCAGTTCACGACCAAACGGTTCGGTTTGAGGCATATTTTCACAGCGCCAGTGGTACTGCTATAACAGACCGCATAACTTTTGCTTTTTACTTCTTAAGTATAACTGAGTTAATAAAAGTCTCACCGGTAAAAAAATAACAAATTTAAACTTTAATCTTATCAATGTTGCTGCGATAATTAGTGCTCTTTAGCCTTTATCGTTATCTTAATTAAGTTTAACGAACTAACGAAGTAGGTAGAGGATTAATTTGTACGGAACTGTTTTCACCTCTATTCAATGGAAGAGGTGCTCGGAAGGACGGTAGAGTGAGCAGTGATTGGTGCTCATATTAAAGTTTAAATCAAGGCTCTCATTATTAATCACAAATGATGAGATGCCGCCGACTAAACCACCGTTTTAGCCGAACAGCACCTGGCACAATTACCAAATTGCAGTCTTAATCAGGAGTAACAGTATTGTTCTATTGCCAAGAATTGGTAATCATCTGCAAGAGTCGAGACTTGGAAGTATTTAGGAACCAAGTCAACAAAATAAACGGTCATTTAGAGAGAATAGCCGCTGATTAGCAGATACTATTTATATAGTATATATATATATATATATATATATATATATATGTATATTAGCAAATATCTCGCCAAATAACTGCCTGTGTTTTTCAGGAGAGTTGTGCGTGCTTCTCCCAAACTCTGTTATGTCTGGTAGAAATGTCAACAAAAGGGAGGAGGTGGGGGCAAAAGTCAATACACATACGTTGACTGTTGGGGCTTATTACTCAGTCACTGAGTGCGCTATGATTGTAATAATTCTCTCTAGTACGACGTGCTATTATCGTTGGTTCGAGGAATACATCAATATTGGTGTTCATTTGTTTTGAATGAATATTTTGATATACACATGTCCTGAAAAATGGAAACTCAAGCTTCTAAGATAACCGATGTATCAAGCACAAAGAGTTTATTCATATTCACTAAATTAGCAATACGGTAATCATACAGAGACCCCGATAACGGTATCCTAGCATTATGAAATCGGTGCCTTTTACCAGGAAGATATATTGAGATTAAGGATACGCGGGGCATTATCAGGATTTAGCAATTAAGATAAAATTTAGATTACCTAATACTAATAGTTAGGTATCGAGCATAAGTTTCACTTAATATTAATGTTGTAAACCGATAGTTGCCAAAATAATTCGACCATTTTCATTATATTCTTATTTAAAAATGCGTTGTCAGTGCTGCAATAGTTCCTAATTTCTGATCATTTTGGGTTAAATTGACTACCAGTTAAAGGTCAGGGGTCAAGAGTGGGGTTAAATTTAATATAAAAACCTTTTTTAGATTGAATATTAAATTGCAGTTAAATTGTAGTTTAAGCTGCCAAGTTGTAAGTCTTTAACAGTGTTAATATTTTAAAATGAAAATTAGGCATTACCCGGAAAATGGGTTAAGATAAGGAGCAAATTATCATATAACATTGTTCATGGACTAATTTGTGTTGCACGATGTATAATCAAAAGTATGGACTTTTGTCAAATTCAAGCGTACTCCATTTTGACAATTTATACAAATTCATCTGGCAATGGCGTGGTGTAAAATAAGAAACTGCTATAACACGGCAACCGGATTGACTGGTCTTTACGGTGCGCTCCCTGGTCGAAGGCTAGGGCGACAGTAACTGTTGCAAACAAACTATTTCTAAACAATCTATGTACGCGGCTCCCGATAAACGAGGAGTAAGGAACGATATATCTGTTTGAAACGAGATATAATGCGCTGATAAATTAGTGACAACTCCCGATGAACAAGGAAATAACACTAAGAGCTAAAATGGACCTGTATCAAACAAGATCTAAAACGTACTGGTTGCTCCCGATAAACGAGGAGTTAACAAATAAACGTAACTGTCTGAAACAAGCTACGGGTGTACCTGTCTTAAAGAAGATACGATCTTAATATTAAACTCCCGGTAAACGAGGAGATGAGAATTCTGTAACTCGCGACGGTAGTGGCTGTACGAAGCACTGACAATGAACTCCGGTGAGCTGCGATTCCCGGTGTGATGGCTCAGTCTGTTTATAAACAAGAAAGGTGGAAGGCTGACAGAGTCTGTATTTAAACAAGACTAGTGTATTGTACTAAATAAAACGCTCTCGTAACGATAGAAAACTAATAAATCGAGAAGATCACCAAATCTCGACTAATACTCGGTGACAATTTCAGAAGTGCCCTATCTCCCAAAAACCTTATCTCTTAAAAAAGGGCTCGTAAAATCTAATAGATACAAAAAAAGGCCGAAGAACTATAGATAAGAAGGTAAAGGTTCGAATATAAAATAGATGCATGAGATAGGGGGGGGGGGGGGGGGGATCATGTTATTTTTTGTCCGTTTTTGTCCGTTAATTTTTGTCCGTTTTGAAAATATAGCTGCCAAACGGACAAAAACGGACAAAAATTGTAACTTTTTATTTAAATTTTTTCCACAATTTGTAACAGGCTATCTGCAGAAATGGGTAGCCCGGTTAATGACCATGGTCCTTTCTCAAACTTTTAATCCTCAATTAGGTACAAAGAATAGTCTACACATTTTTTAATAACATAAAAAGGGATGAAAATCACTTTATTTATGAAAAATATCGAGTTATGTAACAACTTTTCTGGAGAACAAAAAATATACATATACGAGCCCTCCCTTTCCCCGTCAAAACCATGTCGTAAGGTAAATCAGAAATTAGCAACTGATTTAGCAACTAAGATGGTGTACTATAGTTAATAGTACAGGCTATAGTTAATAGCCCATTATATAGTTAATAGACTTCAATGTGTGTGTTTGATATATACTAAGATGGTGTACTATAGTTAATAGTGCACTTGAAATAGCGTAAAGATGTGATCAGGTCATGCTGCAACTTATCCAAAGTTACGTGATCTTTCCTTGTGTTTCGGCTCATATCTCAATAGCCCCAGGCACCATGCTCCAAGTAGAGCGTAATTAGGTGATTACATAATTACAAGGTTGGTCGTATCATAGAGTGCACCTAATTAAAGCTAGCGCCTAGGTAAATACATGATAATGTGATCCGATCCCATATTCTCAGACATTTAAATTGAACTTTAAATTAAAGGATAACTAAAATGATCAACACATAAATCCAAAACAGTTCCTACTGAAAAGTCAATAAAAAAATTCGTTACGGAGTGACAATGTCCCTTGAATTTGTCACTCCGTAACACAGCGTTACAGAGTGACCAAAGTTTGGCTCATCATATCTCCTCTTAAATTATAATGTTATCAATCGAAAATGTTGGAAAATCTTAGTGTAAGGTCACTGAGATACTTCAGAAAATATGGAATGCAATAGGCGTGTAGTTAAGAGAATAGATAACTTTTTGACACTTTTTTGTTACGGAGTGAACCACATTTTCCCCATGTTAGCTCTTTCTCCTTGATTGGGCTTTATATCAGTCTGTAAAAATGAAATCTCATATACTAACACACACAATTTGAGTTTAGTTCAAGCAAAGGCCTAATCTAGAGACGTTATGAAGTAGAGCACACTTTTGAGGATTGTTTTAGTGTCGATGAATATGATAGAATGAGCTATTTTTGCATGATAGAGTAGATTGATGTCTCCAATATTGCAGATTTTCAAAGTATAAAGTTCAAACATTCTAACATTTCCAAAATTGGATTGATAAAAGCATTTCTGAAATTTCCTCCAAGTGGAACCAGTTTTGAAATATGCCAGCCGAAGCTGTGCCAAATCACAGCTTGGTAAGTGGCCGACTTGCATCCGATCGGATTTGAACCCGGGTCTTCTGCTTAAGAGGCGATGTTACCAATACATCACCCGGGCGACATTAGTTGAGGTAACGGTCTAGCTAATAAATAAATCAAACTAAGCTCAATAAGGGGAGGAACGGGGTCTAAAATGACCAATAAGGCTCAAGCAAAATGTCAACGGTCCATTACAGTAAAGAATTTCGGAGAATATCATTAACAATCAGCAATGTTAATCAAAGGTGTACATATCTGCCTCCATTTCATGACTTGCAGTTGGAATAAAGGATTGTACTTCAACCAATAATTAATATAACACGAACCTCAATCATGACAGTGATTTATCGAAGGAATGTTACAAATACTGATAACTGATAAGCATGAGTCTAATCGGTGTAGAAAAGAAGCATCTAAATGAGTAAATGTTATTTCTATTTCTAACATTTTTTGTCCGTTTTTTGTCCGTTTTTGTCCGCTTTATTTTTTGTCCGTTTTGAAAATATAGCTGCCAAACGGAAAAAAACGGACAAAAAACATGATCCCCCGAGATAATATTAAACTTAAGAAGTGGCAAAAAACCGGCGAATTAAATATAAAATATAAAATTAAAGCCTAGCAACACTGTGGATCTACTAAACTACACCATACTCCCCGGGCCAATTTGATCGATTGGATCCGTGCCTACAAATGAGGCTTAGATCGAATCGACCAAATCCCCAATATAATCAATAATAAATATCAAATAAAAATTTAACAAAAATTATAAACATCAATACCAATGAAATAAAACATCCTATCTTTATACAATTGTCTGTCTCCTTATTAAAATGAATAAATAAAATTATAGAAATTCTTTTCTGTTTTCTGCAGTAGACGGCACTCTGTCTAAAACAAGAGGCACTTAAAAAGATGATGGCACTCTGTCTAAAACAAGAGGCACTTAAAAAGATGATGGCACTCTGTCTAAAACAAGAGGCACTTAAAAAGATGATGGCACTCTGTCTAAAACAAGAGGCACTTAAAAAGATGATGGCACTCTGTCTAAAACAAGAGGCACTTAAGGTCTGATTACTCCAGCTCCCGCCTCTTCCTTAAGTCCACCAGCCTCCTTACAAGTCCCAAGCATCCTAATAGACCATCCATACTAATCCTATCTAGCCCCTTCTGAAACCTAACACCTCGCACCACATCCTCCAGCATCCCTTTGATCAAGTACTTGAAACCCCCCTTTAGCGTTTGGAAACTCCCAGCCTTCCTATTTGTCTCCAGCTTGCCAGCATCCCTAAGCTCCTCCAAACCCATGAACACCCTCTGAATAAACACATCCTTAATGTCCTCTGCTTCTTTTTCTACTATCCTCCAGATTTCCCTAGCATCCTCCGTGGTCCTGGCCTCCTCCATCCTTTTCAAAACATCATCAGTGAAGCCCTTCCACCTATCCTCTAGAGCCAGGGTCGTCCCACCTCTCTCAACTACATCCCAACGCATCCAGGGTCCGATCCTCCTTTCGGCACCCTGGAGCCCCCATTCACCCCTCTGTACCCTCCTTCTGTCCTCCTCCGAAAAATACCTCGGGCGGGGGAGGTGGCGGCGTTCTGGATCTGGATCTAGGGGGTGGTAGCGGGGGTGGTGATGCCACTCTCACCGTTCTAAACTACGCCAGGCGTAAACACAATCAATATTCTAACAAAGAACACTATTGATAGGGCATTCAACCAGAAATTAAATTGGCAATTTTAATGAAAAATACCACTTACCTCAGCTGGTACTTAAGGGCGAGCCGGGCGAGGCAGCGCTGTTTGATGGCCTCCAGAAAGTGAGGCACTGTCTCCCTGCTCGTAGCAACATCCAGCTTAGCATCACTCGACCAGCCCGTTATACCTGCTAATCTCTGTGCCCACAGGAATGGGCGACCTTAAACGGAGGAAATAGGTAATTTTAAAGAAACTCTTGTTATGTGCAGAATTATGGAAACTTTTTTGAAGATTTGTTCGGGTATTTAACTAATACTATGTGATTCAATATTAAGATGGTCGGTGTGAATAAAAGTTCGGATACTATATTATATTCCGGTTCTAATCTAGTCCTATCCGGTGTTGGTTCGAAGCTAGCTCTCACCTAAAGAGTTCGGTATTTTAGTTTTAGAAGGGAGACTATTCTTGTTGAGAATGGAAGGTGTATCAGGGTTGGGACACTCATCTCCGTAGTCCTCCGACCAGAGCGCGCACAGCAGCTCCTTGCTCGACATGTAGTCCCTGGGTTTGGGTGGGAGGGTTAGAGGATAGTAAACTCATACAGATAAGATAAAACACGAGGTAATATTAGGTCCATTAACATTTTTAGAACTGTGGGCATTAACAATTTGCTCAAATAAATCCCCCATATATCAGAAAAAATACAAGAAACTGAAACTCACGTTCCAACAGAGAACTTGTCTCTCCAGGGACTGGCAGTGGTGATCATAAGAGAGATGCTAACTGTCACAACCTTCAACTTGGTCAGGTAACTGAACAGGACCTTAGCGTGGACTCCATCGTCACAAGGAACTATTACCTGGGGAGATAAGATAGCTAAGATAAGAACAAAGAAGAGCTGGGATTTGATACTTTCTGTATATTTTCTTGATTAACTTATTTTGGTGGGCATTATTCGGTTAATGATGTTGTTATGTGACGTTTTCAAAATTAAATGATCGTCTATTGGACGAGACAGTCTCAAAATAGATGGCATTTTAAAATTATATGTTCTTTGCAGTTTATAAAAATTAACCGCTCATGTGCTGTGGTTAAGTTCCATCTGAACATGTGATTCAGTTGTTGACCCGTAAACAACTTTGATTTGGTTGCTATTCGGCTTAAAACTCTGTTTATATTTGTATACTAATACATATTAGGCAGTATCCAGATAGCCCGACCCCTGTTCGCGAACGCCTGTTCGTGAACAACTTATGACATGATGGTTACCAGATCATGTGACTTCATAATAACAGTAACCCCTCGACACTGAATCAAGCCTGCTGATGTATTACAGCCTAGTCCTCCAGTTGATCATCCCCCTTCTACAAGCAGAGTAGGACCCATTCGGAGCAGACGACGAACACAAATGGAAGCGCAAATTCCCTTACTAATTATATCCGAGAGACCACATTTGAATCGTAATCAATAGTTTGATACTGTGTATAGTTTACATACTGTGTATTTGTAAAGAACCTGCAGTCTGTACCCGGGTTATCCAGATCCATGCGTGATGCGAACCACCGCCCTAATCTTAGGGAATCTGTTCCAGTCCATGTTGGAGCCAGGTTACATTTGGATTGTCTCCATATTAGAAAAATTAAGTGAAATTGTAAGGTGACAAGTAAAACACAACACAATTTTTGGCTAGACATTAAAATTAAGAACTCAAACATATGAAATGAAATGAGGTATTTATATTCCGCTCATATGATTAACCAACAACACAAGGAAGGTGGTTAACCATGTCAGAGCGGCTGACTGTGAGTGATGTGAGCAAAAGTGTAAAAGTGAACTAAAGTATAACTCAGCATAAGGCAAAGACAAAATTAAAACATAAATAACAAAATATTAAAAATTGAATTTTATCAAGAAACCAGAAATTATACTGGATAACATTATTCATAATTCACTATAGCATGTTGAAACGTTACCCATCGTCTGCATGAAATCACACGATCATGACCAATAAACTGAAAGAATTAAGTTGAGACTACGAAGAAACAACTAATTTATCAGTGCAGCAAACAACTGCAAGTTTCTTGAAAAAATTCTTTACAGAAAACGTAATCATCTCAACGGCATCACTATTTTTAACGGACGACATATTGCAACACTTCTTGAGCTGGTCAACAGCGTTGTGAAAAGCTGTGACCCTGAGAGCAATGTCGATCATAAGTCTGGCAATGAGAATCTCTCTGTGGGGGTCGTAGTCGGGCATGATATCGAGGACACTTTTAGCAACATGGTTTCTGACGGATTCTAAGAATGTTCCAGTCGTTCCCACGCAAAAATCTCTTAAATCTGAAATCGTTTGGAGGAAATTGGCGGAGGACCTAATTTTATTTTTGTTCAATTTGGCAATGATAAAGTTTTCGATTGAAGAGTAAAGTTTGGTCGTCAAGTTCTGGGGAACACCAACTCGAGTGAATGTAGGAGTTTTGGTACCTCCAAGACTGACTTCGCAGTTATTTTTCTGTTCCTTAATCTTGCCGTTGAACATTTTTCTTTCTGAGTGAATTATAGAAGCAACTTTTTTGTGAATATCTAATTTTCCTTCTCGAGTTGCATTAACAACGGTGATTTGTGCGGTTAGGTCAGGCTCGTCAACTATGCTAACTTTAAATGGTTTAGCTGGATTAGTAACGACTTCACCAACTCTTTGTGCACTATGGTGGGCCTCAGTGACAACCTCTCGTGACTTGCGAATTAAAACCGACGGATTCTTCTTAGCATAAGATAAATAGGGATGGTCGGGGTAGCATTCAATCATCTTGGGACGGGGATAATCGTTTGGTTTATTAGCCAAAGTTCTTTTCCAATGATTTTCGAACGCTAACTTTACTTCCTTTATCTTAACTGCTGAGTATACCTTTCTAAATTTTATCTGTTCAGAAAATCCATGAATTGAAGTTTTCATAGATTTTATCACCCACTTCTTAAAATCGATTGTTTCCCAGTATTCCATTACTTCATAGCATTCAGACAAATTTACGAGATTAAGAATATCATGAGAGACAAGTCTCAACGTCTGTAAGTCCAGATCGTCTTTATAAAGATATCTCCGACAGAGTTCCAATCTTTCTAGAAGTTGGTGAGTAGCACAGTTGTTGAACTCAAGGGGCCCAGAGATCAGCAATTTTACGATGCGATCAGTCATCATAAGTTTTAAGATACAGGAGTTGCGTTTGATCAGTTTACTTACAGGATGTACCGAGATTTCAACAAATTTCATAGATGTCAGAATATTCCCAAGATCAGCCCAATCTTCAGAGCCGAAACAATCAGTCCCGATCGGCTTTCCATTTGACAGATTTACATGAATACCAATCAGCTTCATTCCGATCCTCGCAATAGTCCCATTTCTATCTGACCAGGGCCAAGGGGCACTTTTCAGAAACCTACAGCACATTTCGACTCGCTCGATAAGTACAAAAGAAACGTCATCATTAGTCGAATCTTCTGACTGGTAACACTGCAGGTCTTCAAGTGTCATCTGAAGGATCTCGATAGCATCGAGCCTACGCTGTAAGATATCGTCGGTTGCAAAGTGTTCACGAGTCGTTTCTAAAGCGGTCTCGGTGTTGTCTGACATTGGCTGGAGAGTGGAGATTTAGTGATTGTCAGAGGAGTAACACACATTATATTGCACGTTAATCTCGCTTTTACCTCACCAGATGCGAGTACTACTACTATGTACATTACTCGACGTCAGTGTTTAGCTTTAGCTGTGGTTTAAAAGAAATGACTCAATGCAAGGGTTTACCACGTAAGGACAGAATCTAATACTATGAACAAAGCATTGATTATGTTTATTTCAAGTTTTTATTTGCAATAATATAAAATGAACTTTGGTTATTAACGGCGGTAATATGGCAAAAAAACGAAAGAATCTAAACCAATGCGAAAGGGAGTAAAGTAAGTATAACCAGTGCTGACACGGACGGAAATTTTTAAAGGTGGGAGTGTGGACGGGTTCATACGTTCAAAAAATACTAAATCTTACAAAATCATGTTTGGGCAATTCTGGCAGTCGAATGGATGGAAAACGAGTATTTAATTTATAATTATACTTGAAATAATGTAGTATCAAATGAAAATAATCATAAAACGCCCTGTAATACTACATATTGTATTACTATTACTGTAGCACAAGATAGGCCAGAATTATATATGTACGGATGCGGTTACATAGTAACTATAACCCTTGAAGAAGGGCTACAATATGCAGTAAATACACGACACTCAGACAACACCACAGAGTATAGATCTTATCACAGGATTAACGGCCACTAATTAGGCCTGCTAGTAATGACTGCCAAATAAATCTAGTAGGTAAGGAGAGAGGAAACTTCCAGAACATTCTAAAATCTGTTGCTAATTACGGGGGGATTTTAAACGATATATCTGTCTGTGGTATTATGATTGATTGACCTTTCTTTCTAATCGAAAGAAATGTAAGGAGAAGGACATATTTTCTTGTGTTTGAAGTGATATCTCAAATTTGGCACATAGAAATTCGGCCAAACTTACACAGATTATCCGTCCTATAACCAATGACCATCATACTTTATGGAAAGTTTCAAGAAAATCGTTTGGTAGGATCCAACAAAAACTCATATCAGAAAAACCCAATTTCGGAGTCGGACAAGAGTCGCTGTCGGACAAGAGTCGCCCAATCGAATCATCAAACAAGCCTGGAATAAAGAATGTACAGATCTTAATGAGGTGTCCACCCACACTGTAGTCAAACTGCGGCACTAAACCGTTCAACACAAACTGATATAGTTCACCACACGAAGGTCACCAGATGAAAGTATACAGTGTACACCTGCAGTCAGCACGAAACAACGTGCTATTGCTACACAATTTATTAGAGTCAATAATAACGCGCAAAGAAACGTACACAATGAGTAGATACAGCTAATAAGTAATAATAGCGTTCACTGTGTTGCAACTTGCAGGGAATTATGAGATTATCGTGCCGTGTAGGATCTTAATTTTATAACAACCTGTTTAATAACCTGAAGGAATGAAGGCTGGATCATTGTCCTCTGTAATGATGGTTTACAAGAAGATGATCACACATACACACACACATCTGTTAGATACAACATAGTGGGCCCATGTGTTTGGGGAGAGGCAGGTGTTTCACTGTAAAGGGTGTGATTGTATACCGTATTGACAACTGTGTACAATGTACATCGGATCGTGTACACTGTACATCGTGTACACTGTACATCGTGTACACTGGATAGTGTCCGTCTACCGTATATTTCTCGGAAGAAATGAACGAGGAAGCCGAAAAAGTGATGCCATAATGTGATTTAGCCAAAACTTGTTACTTATTTAACATTTTTAATAGAAAATTGTTTCTATTGATCCAATGAGATGAGTGAGATCGTTTTATCCGGATAATAAGTTTGGGGAACGGACTTTGACTTGACGGACAACCAGTATCCGTTCAAATAAAGTCCGATAAAGTAGGTCTACCGTATATATCTCTACCGTTACCCAGTACTGTGTATGTTTTATGTAACTTTATGTAAATTTCAGTGCCGAAGCATATAGAAAGAATATTAATTTTGATCCGAAACTATAAATTTGTCGAGCAACAGTTGATAAAAGGAGAGATATGAAAGAAGTGCGATGAGTATTTCTGGCAGCCCGATGTTCGTCAATAAGGGGTCGTTCACATATTACGTAATCATTTTTTGGAACATTTTTACCCCCCTCCGTAATCAGTTTTACGCATAGCTATTGTGTCAAAATAACACTAGCGTAATCATTCGGAAACGCCCCCCCCCCTCAACTGATTAC